TTGAGCATATCAACTTTTACCCTGAGGCCCATTTTGAGTTTTACAAAAGTGTGTTTTTTCAATATGGCGGCCAAAGTATCACTTCCAGTCTGGATTTTATTTTAGAATCGGCCATAAAATTTCATTTGCCAAAGATCAGCCAAATTTTGTTGACCTACATAAATTACACCGGAAGTTATTCAACTGGAAGTAGATTTGAAGTTCAGTCGCTTTCCTGTTGAAAATCGGAAATGACGTACAAAATTTGACTGTATCATATTATTAACATTAGTGAAGTCTCTTTGCATTTAAAATTTCAGATCGATCGATGCAAAAGCAAAAAAGTTGCAAAAAAATCGAAATATTTGATCGAAAAAAAGTGAGCGACGAATTTTTGAATTTCGTAATTTTTCAATTTTTTTTTATCAGGTCAGAAATTACAGGTAGATTTTAAAAATGAAAACCCGAAGAAAATCGATGCAAAAATGCGCCTTCTAGAGCCGATTTTCGAAAGCAAAGTCCCACAATAATACCCTACAATTCCTCACATGTTGTGCAAAAAACTTGTTGCACATAGCATTTGATTGAAAAATGATGGCACAATAAACACGCACTAAACACATCTAGATTTGCACTTCAATCAAATGGTGCCATTTTCAAAATGATGCGTTACTCACAAATTGCACCATTATAAACATGAAAGGTACAAAAAATAAACGTATAGAAAAGTCAATATTTGTAAAGTAATAGTATTAATCCTATTTAATTGATATCCATTTTATAATATGTGCCTACCATATCCAAATACAGTACTTCAAGTTTCTAACAATACTTGTACTGAATTAGTACTAATAGAGACAATAACAGATGTGTCTCAATCCAGCCAGAAAATGACATGCAAAATAAATGACTAACATCCATCTCAATAAAAATCAACTATTTATCTGCAGTGTATCAAAATTGACCTACTTAATTTCTATAAATATGAAATGACATAAAATGTACTAAAAATTTTGCAAGGGTTGCTCTGACCCTTACTTTCGCAAAATTGAGGCTTGTAATGCCATGCAAAGCACAGTGCAAATTCTAGCTTTTAAGTTACAGTATATCTTCTGCAATACTAGTCTTTTTCCTAACTTTTTTAAATTTTTGTTTTACTGCATTACTTAAATTTTCAAGGCCGCAACAGGAGTTTACCTAGTACATAGCGTATAAGTTTATTATAAACAAGAATTACTCATAAATATATATTTCCATTCAGATTCGCTCTACAATTGATCTTTGAGCACTATTTTAACAATGAAAATAATTCATTTTATTGTATATTTCGTTTCATGATGCAAATGACAAAAGAAATCAAATACCACAGTTGGTATGGATGTCATGCAGTTTTGTCTTATTTGTGCTGCAAATATACAGATTATTCCATAAAATTGTTCCTAAAATATTCAAATGCATAGCTACAAACTGTGAAAAATATGTCAGCAATCTACACAATCCACTGATTATCATTAGTACATTGACAAAATACTACATTATCCATGCTATATCAAAATTACTGTAATATCTTTACCCTCAAGTAGCCCAAATATTCTAAAGAACAATTATCATGTAGACTTAGTCAAGCGTCAAGATAGGGCATGTTCATAAACTAATGGTCTCATAGAAACCCTATGTTAATCTACTAATCCTTTTGATCATAATACTGGTAAATATTGGGTAATAACAAAATTATAACATGCTCTGTCCACAGTTAAATGACAGATACAGGTTGGTAGTATCTAACAATCTTCTGAACTACAAACAAGCTCTACTCAAAAGACATGCCAATTATCCCAATCATCGTTTCAAACCACCCTGGCTAACCCCCACCCCCAAACACAGTTAAAAATTGAGATGTGTTTAAGAAAATCATAATCTTATTTCATGGGTCTGTAATAGAGACCAATAAAATATCTATGTTGAGATATGACATAAATTTCTTTGTCCCACACTAATGACTTCTACAGAAGGATTTGCAATGCTACAATAAGGAAAATTTTGCTAAGCATAAGACAGTAATGCACTTTGATTCCATTTCCAACCCTTCAACAAGTTTTAAACAACCAACTTATCTCCCCTTACACCCTACTCCTACAAAGACAATTTTGTGCATGTGGTTTTCTATTTCAAACTGGTATTTACATGACTTAATCAAAATCCAGTCCTTATGATTGTTTAACATCCAGTGCAAAACTTTAATGAATGCACCTATAATTATAGTCATCTGTTAAAATCAAGCAGATGTTAACAGATGACTTCTGTCTGAAAAAGGGTGTTATGTTAAGACTAAATGTTATCAATAACTAACCACCTTTTCAAACACATATCAATTAGGATACTGCACAGTGTTAATCAACACTTCTTAATGGGTTCAATTATAAATTTGTATTTATAGTTAAAAACTGCAAGCTGTCTCAATGATCAGAATTTGTTGACATTTCAATTATTTAAGTAGATTATTTTTTTAAGGATATTACATTAAATTTGAAACCATGCTTCAAGAGAATCATTTGACAAATTTGAAAGACCAATTGGTACAAGATGATGACAATGCCGATTCTAATGCTAATTCTTCTTTTATTCTGCCTGACTCAAAAATTTTTAAATATGCATATATAGGGATAATTTCAAAGAGGGAAATTGAATTTTGTAGAACCTTTTAGTCTCAATCCAAGAATAATTTCAAGGTCTCAATTGCTGATACATATGACCTTTTAAA